CGCCACAGCGCCAGCCCCTGAACATCTTTTTTTTTTAATGAATTGTTGGGGCCAGCACTGTGGTGCAGCGAGTTAAAGTCTTGGCCTGACGCCAGCATCCCACATGGGCGCTGGTTCTAGTCTTGGCTGTTCCTCTTCTGATGTAGCTCTCTGCTATGGCCTGGGAAAGCATTACAAGATGGCCCAAGTCCTTGGGCCCCTGCACTCGTGTGGGAGTCCCGGAAGAAGCTCCCGGCTTTGGATCAGCCCAGCTCCGGCCATTGTGGCCATCTGGAGAGTGAACCAATGGATGAAATACCTCTCTCTGAATCTCTACCTCTCTCTGTAACTCTGTTATTCAAATAAATAAAATAAATCTTAAGAAAAAAAAGAATTATTTATTTGAAAGGCAAAGTTACAGAGAGAAAGAGCAAGACAGAGAGAAAGATGTCTTCCATCTGCTGGTTCACTCCCCAGATGGCCTCATTCCAGACCAAAGCCAGGAGCCTAGAACTCTGAATGGGCCTCCTATATGGGAGACAGGGTCTCAAGTCCTTGGACTATCTTCCACCACTTTCCCAAGTGCATTAGCAGAGAGCTGGATCAGAGGCAGAGCAGCTGGTACTCAAACTTGTGCTCATTTGGGATGCCAGCATCGCAGGTGTTAGGAAAAGATTTGCAGGTTGGTGACTCCTCACACCGGGCACCAAAATGTTAGGAAAAGAGGCGCAGAATAAAGAGGAGGCCATGTATGAATTTACAGCCAGACCGAATTTATTCAGAGAAAATAAATTCATAGATGTTGGTGACCAACTGCCTGCATGCAGGTGCTGGAACACATGGCAGAAGGCCTGGACCCCCAAGGGTTGTGCATTTTTATTTTTGGAGGGCTAGAGATGGGGGTGGGGTAGGGGACAGCAGGCAGAGGGGAATTCCTGGAACTGGTCTTTGAAGTGTTCCAGCAACTGGTGTTTGAGGTGGCTGTGGGGGGTGGGGTATGAAGGCAATAGGGTGTGAGACCCAGTTGAGATTCAAGGGCAAGGAATGCATTCCAGTGTTTTTCTGTCTTCTGGGCAATGGGCAGGGATGGCTGAGGCTTATGTCTGTTCCATCAGCTGGTGGTACTTACCCACTTTACACAACGCTGGCCAGTGAACATCCCTGTTTAAAGGTGTTGGATCACAGTTGGTGTCCATGTGACTGCATTTTGAATGGCTAGGATATTTTCCTGTAAACTCAGCCTTTCTTCCCCAAGACTCCAGATGTGTCCGTTGCAACCCCACTGTTGTTTTGGATTATCCATATTTAGGGTGAAGAGATTCTGTCCCAGAATTCTCAGGAGAGCGCAGCAGATGAGAGTGAGGCTGATGAGTCACCTCAGGTCTCCCAGAGCGGAGCAGCGGAGGTATGTCTGTAAGGGGAGCCCGAGCCTGGTGTGGACACTCGGTTTTGTTAACTACTTCTCCTTGGTCGGAAGTTCAGGACACATGCTTCTGTGCCCACCTCTCTTCCCTCCGAAAATGCTTCTGTGCCTGTATGCTCTCAGGTGCGGGAAACAACCACACGGTATTAGGATGACTCTTCCCTATCTCAAGTGTGGCTTGTGTTGCGGAGTTGGAGGTTCTCTTCCATTGTAGCCTCCTGTTTTCTCCAAGTTTCTATCTGAAACCATTTTAGAAGGGAGCAGGGAAGAGGTACTCTGTTGAGAAAATGAAGTAAGTCACTTAAGCACGTTTGAACGTTAAAAAAAAAAAAAATGAAAAAGCATTTGGTGAAAGTAACGGCACTAAGTCCGAAGCTGCCACAGAGGAATAAAGCGAGATGTCCTTACTCTGTTCTGTGATAAGAGGAGCTTTTGAAACTTTAAGGAAAGCGAAATAAAAGTACATGTTTCTGACATTTTGCCACAATTTGGGTGGGCTGTAGGCCCAGGAAGCTTAGACGGGAGAGCCCCGCTGGGAGCTTCTCTCCAGGGCAGTCTGGGGCTGATGCAGAGTGAGTGTTCAGTATGAAAGCTCCTTAAATTTACATGAGCCTTGGTTTCATTTGCTTAGTACTCCTCCCTCGATCTTGTTTTCATGAAGAATTTGAGGTAGACAGTATTCTCTTTTTAAATATTTATTTATTTATTTGAAAGGCAGAGTTAGAGGCAGAGAGCGAGAGAAAGGTCTCTCATCCACTGGTTCACTCCCCAGATGACCGCAATGGCTGGAGCTGGGCCGATTCGGAGGCAGGAACTTCTTCCGGTCTCCCACGTGGGTGCAGGGGCCCAAGGACTTGGGCCATCTTGTACTGCTTTCCCAGGCCATAGAAGAGAGCTGGATTGGAAATGGAGTAGCTGAGACTCGAAGCAGCGCCCATATGGGATGCTCGCACTGCATGTGGCGGCTTTACCAGCTTCGCCACAGCGCTGGCCCCCTTGTTTTTAAAAGAAAAAGGATTGGGGCCAGCGCTGTAGCACAGCGGGTTAAAGCCCCGGCCTGAAGCGTCAGCATCCCATATGAGCACCAGTTCTAGTCCTAGCTGCTCCTCTTCCAATCCAGCTCTCTGCTATGGCCTGGGAAAGCAGCAAAAGATGGCCAATAAATTTTTTTTTTTTATAAAAAAAGATTATGTATTTTATTTGAAAGGCAGAGTTACAGAGATAGAGATAGATCTTCCATCCACTGGTTTAGTCATCAAATGGCCACATCTACACTGAAGCCAGAAGCCAGGAGCTTCTTCCGGGTCTCTCACATGGGTGGCAGGGGCCCAAGCACTTGGGCCATCTTCTGCTGCTTTCTCAGGCACTTTAGAAGGGAACTTGATCAGAAGTGGAGCAGCCAGGACTCGAGCTGGCATCCACGTGGGCTGCTGACGCTGCAGGTGGCGGTTTACTCTCTATGCCATACCACCGGCCCCCACAGTATTCTCTTTGTTGGCTGTTTTTTCCTAAGCAAACCTCCCATACTGGAGTTTCAAACCAGAGAGGATTTCATGCTGTCTCCTGTTGATATGCCAATCCGAAGCCAGGGGCCGGGTGCTTCCTCCCAGTCTCCCATGCAGGTACAGGGACCAAGCACTTGGGCCATCCTCCACTGCCTTCCCGGGCACAGTAGAGAGCTGGTCTGGAAGAGAAGAAACCAAGACTAGAACCCGGGGTGCCAGTGCCGCAGGCTGAGGATTAGCCAAGTGAGCCATGGCCTCAGCCTGATATGCCAATACTTCTAACACCCACTTCATTGTGTATGGAGTACTTGCTTTGTGGCTGTCACATACGTGCAGTGAAACTGAGGACCCTGGTGTATTCACAATCATGTAGGTTTGCTTTCATTGCAAAATGATACAAGTCAGTATCAAGAATCACCTACCTCCGTGGTTGTGGCTCAGCCTTCGTGATGTCAAGAGCGATGGCAGAGTGTTTGATTTACAAATGAATGGTTTAAAGTCTGCCACTGGTTTGAGTGATGGTGACAGTACTGTTGCGCGTCCCGTGTGGCTGTGTTAGACAATTCACAGGGTCCCCTGGGACAGTCACCTAGAATACTTACTTGTCCTTTGCCCCTTAGGGTGGTGATGAAGATGAAGGAGATGAGGCAAGTGATGGAGAAAAGCAGCGAGAGAGTAACGAGAGTGATGACAGTTCTGAGTAGACCTGAAGACGCTGCTGTCCTCTCCCCATTTCTGTCGCCGCTTGCCCTGTGTGCTGTGGGTGTGAACTCTGCCATCAGCTTTTCTAATGGAAGCACCCTCTTCTGTCCTTGAGCAGGGGCTTCCTGGAGTCCACTGTGGATTTCCTAGGGTGTCTGACATCCTGCCTGGCCCAGGACACCTGTATGGCATTCTTACTGGTCTGAGTAATCAGCCGGTGCCACACTGCAGAGAACTCTCTGAGTCATGATTCTAGGCCTTGGGAACTACTTGTGAAACTGCTCCATTTATTCTAGAATGTAGGCTTGTGCCAGTTTTGCAAATAAATGCTGAGTTCTGCCTCAACTACCTCATTCCTCTTTCTGGGTTTCCTTTATTATTTAGGATGAGATGAACTGAAATGAGGTTTGGGTAGAGAACTGTTGGGACTCTTGGCAACATACTTGTATTTCTACCACTTAAAGTCACGTCTTATGTTATAGGGACCATCTTAATTTGGGACGAGAAGAGCTTTGAGCTTTCTGGAGGGATGGCTTGTATTTCTTCCCATTGCCCAGTGAAAGTCAGAAGGAATATCTTGGCTGTGTTTTTAATTTTATTTTTATTTTTATTTATTTAGACAGGCAGAGTGGACAGTGAGAGAGAGAGACAGAGAGAAAGGTCTTCCCTTGCCGTTGGTTCACCCTCCAATGGCTGCCGTGGCCGGCGCGCTGCGGCCGGCGCATTGCGGCCGGCGCAGCGCGCTGATCTGAAGCCAGGAGCCAGGTGCTTCTCCTGGTCTCCCATGGGGTGCAGGGCCCAAGCACTTGGGCCATCCTCCACTGCACTCCCTGGCCACAGCAGAGAGCTGGCCTGGAAGAGGAGCAACCGGGACAGAATCCGGCGCCCCGACCGGGACTAGAACCCAGTGTGCCGGCGCCGCAAGGCGGAGGATTAGCCTATTGAGCCGTGGCGCTGGCCCGCTGTGTTTTTTAAAAAATTTTTGAAAAATCTATCAGTGTAAGGCAAAGGAAGGAAAGGTAGCATCAGACTCATTGGGTTTGTGTTTATAATGTGTGTTTTCACATTATTGTGAGTTACACCTACAACCTAGTTACAGGAATGTGTCACATCACGTGACATAGGAACATTGGGAGACTCGTCAGCTGCAGTGCCTTCGGGTCACATCTTCTGCCACAAATCGCAGTTTCACTGCAGGTGTTACTGTTTCTACCGCCTTTGTACCCCAGCCGACTGAGGAGACTGGTTCTGCCATGGATTTTAAACTAGCCCTTGACCTGCTACACGTATGTCATGTGCTCTGGCCCCCAGCAGTCCCTTCTCCTCCCTTGACACCCTTGCCCGCAGCTCATCGTGTTCTTAGGCGGTGCAGTGAGTTCACACCGGGCTCATTGTGTATATGGTTTGTTTATTGGTTCTTTATCCCATGAACAAGTCAGTGCTAGTGTGACCCCAAATGGCTGTTAACTTCGCCGTGGAGATGGTCTCCCTGGCTCTGTCACCAGACACAAGGGAGGAGCTCCTGAACTGTCGGCGCCTGACAGAAGGGCGATGGCGCAGCGGGGTCTGTGTGGACACAGCAGGGCCGCCGTGGCGAGCTGGGTCAGCGGGACCCTTTACTTGGAGTGCTGCAAGGCAAAGGTGCACTTCTTGTACGTCGCGTACAGCAGGAGGATCGAGCGCAGCATCTGTTTACACATCGTCACTGTCATCTCGATCTGGGGCTCCTTGAGCCCCGTGGGCCACTGGTGCTCCCTGCTGATGATTTTGCAAAAGGCGGACTTATCTGAAACGCGGAAGGTTCCGGTCCACTTCGGTGGCTGAGCTGTGATGACCCTGCCAAAGACAGAGTCCACGCCACTGAGGCGGACAGGCTGGGGCTTCCTGACGAGCCCTTTCTTGATGTTCATCGTGCGGAGCTCGGATGTGTGACACGGTAACTTGGGGCTCACTCCAGGTTCCAGGAATGGGCTGTCTAGGACCAGAGTGACCTCTTGAAAACACAGCTGCACTTCAAGGTCAGAAGGGGTGTGCGGGAGGCAGGGGGAGGCCCTAAACGGGTGCTTGGAGGAGGGTGTAGGTGTCGTGTGCCGCAGCCATTGGAAGCTCTCGTCCAGTGGGGTCCATGGTGACCAGAGCTGGTATCCTGCCATTGCCAGTCCTAAAGGAGAGGAATGAGAACAGAGTGTCTCGGCATGTTTTTGGTAGTTCAAACACATCCCTTTGTGCCATGGCTGACACTGGCTCTGTGGTTACCGCAAACAGGCCCAGAGTCAGGGTGTGTGAAGGGCACTAGGGGGCAGGAACAGGTATTGAATCAGGCAACGCAACTGCTGTGTGTACTAAGACTTAAACTTGAGCGATGGCCTCTGAAGATGGATTTTTAGTTCATTTTACAGACAAGGAAATGGATTTGTCTAAAATGGAATGGCCGGGTCTGCGACTGGGACTTTGTGGGGTTGGGACTGCTAATGACAGAGTCTACACCTCTGAGATGGCCTGTTTCAAGACCACGTCTCTCAGAGGTGTGCTCTGCCCAGTGGGTCTCCCAGTACGCTCCCACCATAGTTTGTGAGGCAGTACCGTTCATTTTTCAAGCGGATCTGTTGGTGACATCTTGGACCCAAAGACCCGCCCTGAGGGTGGTAGTATACAGATTGGCTGACTGCCCAGCGGGGGTGTCCCCACGGTCTGTGCTTGCCCTTCCCAAGCACTGGTGTTCAAGCGTCCGGCCGCCTTGGGAGGAGAGACAGACGCGGTCATCCTGCGGACGCCCCCGGGGCCACCCTGGTGGCGGGGACCCCGGGCAGCGCGGGGCGGGGTGGGGGGCTTCAACTGCTCTGCGCCGAGGACCATTAGTTTCCTATTCCTGACTCCGCAGCCGGACACGGGGCCGGAGGTGAAAGGCTTTGCAAAGGGCAGAACCGACTTCCCGCCGAGGTCTCGACCCCTTCGCTGGAGGTTTAAATCAAGATGGTTCGCCCCGTCCCCGCCACCCGGAAGTCTGTTCCTCCCGGACAAAACCGGACACTCTGTCCCCCGACGTCCCCGCCGGGAGGGGCCCCCCGAAACCCCGCGGGAGGAGGCGCTCGTCCGTACCCGGGGGCGGGGGCCAGGCGGCTCCGGCCGAGGCGCAGGCGGCTGCGGGAGCCGGGCCCGGTCCCACCATCGGGCCGGCGGCGGCTCACCTGCTGGACTCCGCGGTCCGCACGCTCCAGAGTGGCGGCCGCGACTCTGAGCCGCATCTTTCCTCCGCGGGGCTCCTGGCAACCGCCTTTGTGACCGGGGGCCGCGGGGGAGCCCGAGCCACGGGCGGCGGGCAGGGCTCGAGGCGGCCGGCCGGCCGGGGGCCCCTCTCCGCCCATCGTCGGACGCCCGGAGCTGGTTCGAATCCCGCCCCGGGCTTCCCCGCCTGCTGCACACGGTTCGGTGCCATTCTTAGCTGAAGAGCGGACACGGTCATCCCAGTGGCCCTCCCCGGTCGGCGTGGAAGCACTGGGCACTTGCCGCGGGCTGGCCGGTGCCCGCCTGCCCCTCCCCGGGGCAGCGAGCACTGGGCACTTGCCGCGGGCTGGCCGGTGCCCGCCTGCCCCTCCCCGGTCGGCGTGGAAGCACTGGGCACTTGCCGCGGGCTGACCGGTGCCCGCCTGCCCCTCCCCGGTCAGCGCTTGGCGAGCAGGGTCACCGCGTCTGGTCCTGCAGGTGAAGGGATGGAGACGCGCTGAGGGGCTGAGGTGGGGTCAGGCTTCGGGAGACCACAGCGGCTCAGAGGCCTGGCAGATCCTTGGTCTGTGTGTGGCTCATAAATTAAAAACAAAAACACAGGGGTGGGAGGCCGGCATTCAGCCCATGCCCCAGCTCGGGCGACTGGGTTCCTGCCATGCACATGACACCCCTGGGCCGGGTTCCCCGCTCAAAGCTCGGCGTGGGCACTCGAGGACTTCAGCAGATGCGGGCCCTGTCTCCCCCTCCTCGCCCCTCTCCCCTCGGCCTCTTAAAGGGGGCAGTGGCTCCTCTCTTAACCCATGCTGCCTTAGGGGGGAGAGCAGGTCTCTTCGCTCCCTGGGACAGGCAGCTAGGGGGACCACAGCCTCACCTGGCTGGGGCAGCGGGGGCCGGGTGTATTATCGCTTTAGGAAATTCTGTGACTACAGGGGAGCTCGGACAGGCCTCCCGCCGTTCTCAGGGTCCAGGGAGACGTGGACAGTCAGCTGGACAGGGTTCACCTGCCGGCGACGACCCTGCGGGTCCCGTGAGAATCAGCTGCAGACACATCTCTACAGGCGTCCAGGAATCAAAGGGCTGTGCGCACTGGGGTCTTCCCCGTGACTGCCAGAAACACGGATCCCTCCGCTACTTTTTTTTCCTTTTTATCAAAGGCATTTCTGCATACCAGAAAATACTCCTTGAGACAAAGGTAAAATTGCACGTTATTCCACCGCCTTAACAAGCCCCGCACTGGTTTGGGGTACACTCGTCCCCACCTATCAGACATGATTTTTGCCTAGTGGCAGTTATTAAAAACGTGCATCGTTTTCCCCCTCGGTTTCTCCAGTGCGCCCCGTTCCCGTTGCCAGGTGCTCCTAGTTAGCATTTAAATGACAGTATAGTATTTTATTATCGCCTCGGCCGGCTGCAGCAGATCAGGGTACAGAGCGCATCTCTGCCTCGAGTGGTCTGTGTCCGTAACTTTCAAAAGCGCTGGGTTACGTAACCGCTCCGTTACAGAGTTCCTCCTGAGCGGCCCGGGCTCGCCCCCGCCGCCGAGTACGATCAGGCTCTGTTCCCTCGGCGAACGCGGCGTATCGCTGCGGCCACCTGGGGCGGACGCGAGGGAAGCCCACGCGGCCCCTAACGCCCACAGCGGCCCGCCGGACGTGGGCGTGCAGAGCCCTGCGCAGGCGCACAGCGCTCCTCCCCGAGCCGCCGCTTTGCTTTCCGCGGCGTGGGCGCCGGGTGCAAACGCAGGCGCGGACGTGACGCTGCGCAGGCGCATCACGAAGCCCGTGGAGTCGTGCGCGCCCGGGGCGGGTTGGGCCTGGGGGCGCAGGCGCACTGGCTGCCTGTGGGGGGGCGGGTGTCGCGGCGCCTGCGCAGCCACTCTTCCTTCGGCGGCCGCCATGGCGGGGCAAGAGGATCCGGTGCAGCGGGAGATTCACCAGGACTGGGCGAACCGGGAGTACATTGAGGTCATCACCAGCAGCATCAAGAAAATCGCGGACTTTCTCAATTCGTTCGGTCCGTGGGCGAGCCGGGGTGGCTGGGCGGTGGGGGGCCCTCCGCGGCGGCCCGGCGGGGACCCTGAGGGGGCGCTTGCGGCCGCGTTCCGGGGTTCGCTTCCTGCTTCAGGCCCCACCTTCCCGCGTCTCCCTGGCCCTCGGGCAGCGCCTGGCCGGCCAGGCGGCCCCGTCCACCCGCGCGGCGTCCGCTTCCATTGCGCCCCCTCGCTGCTCGGGGGTCTGCTCCGCGCGCTCCGGCGGGCCCCCCGTGGGCTGGGGTCGGGGCCGGGAGGTCGCCGGAGGTGGCGCGCCGTGGGCCCGGCTCGCGCGGCCGAGACAGCCTTGCAGGAATCCGGGCGCGGCCTGCCCGAGAGCCCGTGAGCGTTCCCTCTGCCGCCCCTCGCCCCGGCCGGCCAGCGCGGGGTGCGGAGGGCAAGAGTGGCCTGTTTCCTCGAAGGGTTCTTCTGTCTGCTCGTTGAGCAACGTGAAGCCCTTCCGGTTAAACGGGAGAAACCTGCGTGCACGTGTGTCATTGCAGAAGCGTTTAGAACGAGTCAGTTCCCCCCGCCCGCCCCCAGCTTCCATCCGCTGGCTCGCTCCCTAGATGGCCGCAGTGGCCAGGCCTAAGCCAGGAGCTTTGTCCGGGTCTCCCACGCGGGTGCAGGGGCCCAAGCGCTTGGCCATCCTCCACTGCTTTCCCAGGCCATTAGGGAGGTGGATGGGAAGTGGAGCAGCCGGGACGCGAACCAGCGCCCGTATGGGATGCCGCCCCGCGGTGGCAGCCCCTGGATGAATTATTTTCTAGGTGGTGAGGCGAGAGCTGAGCGAGGAGCCGGCTCCGAGGTTGGGGGAGGGCACGGGAGGACCATTTGCCTCCCTCAGAGCTCTTGTCTTGGTCACACTTTCTAAGGATACTTCTGTTGCATTTGTAAGGCGGGAGGTCATCATCTTCTGGTTAGGGCCGGAACGGGCTGGAAGCGGGGGCCAGGCACTCGGCCTGTGGCTCTCACGCGTGACGAACCCGTGCTCGCTCCCGGGGTGTGCGTTAAAGGGGAACTGGGGTGGGAGTGGCGTGGGGCCCCAGCCCCGCAGCCGGTGCGGTGGCGTCGCAGTCCCGCCCTGAGCAGGGTCTGACTGAAGCCGAGGCCGGGACAGCGTGGAGGAGGGGACCGTGCGGAGGTGTGGCGGCATGGCGAGGCCCCTCCCTCCGGAGGCTGGGGCTGCAGGCGCTGTTCCTGGGAGGACAGGCCAGGCGTGGGTGTCCGTGGTGTGTGTGAAGGGCGTGAGGTGCTGCAGAGGCTGGTGGGAAACAGTGAAGTGAAAGGGACGTAAGTGAAGCAGTGTGGCTTAGTGGGAAAAAATAAATGGCAAGACTGGTTTTAGTGAACTGACAACATGTGGGAAATACCGACTGACTCGCCCGGCTCCTCTGGGTTTCCTCAGAATTTGTAAAGTTCTGTGCAAGTTGCTTCAGTATGATGTTTCATTATTCTCACAGTTGGTTCTCCTCTTTCCCAGATAACTGAAATGTTAAGGGTTCTTCATAGCATTTTTTCCCCCAAAGATTTATTTATTTATTTGAAAGAGTTACAGAGAGACAGAGAGAGGTCTTCCATCCTCTGGTTCAGTCCCCACATGGCCATGACGGCTAGAGCTGTGCCAATCCGAAGCCAGGAGCCAGGAGCTTCTTCCGGGTCTCCCACGTGGGTGCAGGGGCCCAAGCACTCGGGTCGTCTTGCACTGCTTTCCCAGGCCACAGCGGAGAGCTGGATGGGAAGTGGGTGGGATGCTGGCGCCGCAGGCAGCGGTTTTCACCCACTGCATGATGGTTCCGGCCCCTTCACAGCATTCTTCACTCAAAACCTTTGTTAGAGAAGGACTACGTGGCAGAAACCAAAATATTCCATGCAGGGGACCGGTCAGGTTGATAGGTGACAGGATCCTGGCTTTGAGACTTCGGAGGGCAGTAGTTGGAAAGATCACTGACCTGGGATGTTCTAAGTTGGTCTGAAAAAGCAGAATGAAAATACTTGGTTCATACGGTTGTGCTTAATAACTGACACGCACCCACCGAGCACTCATCCAGGTTAAGGTCAGTTCAGGCGCCCGAGCTTCGGACATAGCAAGCTGGCTGGGGCGGCTTTTCCAGTGTGGACGTGTCTAGCCCCTCAGTCCTCCAGCTGGGGTCTAGGCAGTGTGGTAAGTTCACCTCTGAGCACAGAGTCGTATCGTGTATCTGTCTTTAACCCTAGTCCCACCAAGTTGGCTGGGTCTTGGGGCTGACTGAAATGGAGGCGTGATGGAGGATGTGCAGGGGCACAGTGTTGCTTTCTTGCCGTCTGCGCTCTGGCGGGGTCACATCTGCTCAGTTAGAGGAGGGATTTGCTGTTCTGTTTGGGATTTCCACCAGGGCCGAGGCCGACGAAATGGACATGCAGAATTTTAATCTTCAGGAGCCGGAAAGAAATAGCTTCTCATGGCTGTTGTCCTCCACTGAAATGATGATGGTGGCCGGATGTTTGGTGTCGTTTTTGAAAATGTTAGGGAATGAGTTTAGTACTGAAGAGTTAGAAATAAGCACAGTGTTACGATGGGTGCAGGGCTGAGCGCTGTGGCACCGCGGGGTAAACTGCTGCTGGACGACCTGCGGCCCCTGTCAGGGGGCTGGTTCAAACCCCAGCTGCGCAGCTTTTGGTCCTGGGAGGCAGCAGGTGGGGACTCAAGGACTCGGGTTCCTGCTGCCTGCCTGGGAGGTCTGGATGGAGTCCCTGCTCATGGCTTTGGCCTGACTCAGACCTGGCTGTTGCAGTCATTTTGGGGCGTGAATCAGTGGATAGAAGATTTTTTTCTTTCTCTATCCCTCTGCCTTTCAAATAAATAAGTAAACCTTGGGGGAAAAAATTTAAAGCATCTGGAGTGGGTGTTTGGCACGGTGGTTGATAGGCCTCTTGGGAGAGCCCCGCGTCCGTGTCGGAGCGCCTGAGGTCGGGTCCCAGTTCTGCCCTCCGTGCTGGCTCCCTGCTGCTGTGGGTCCTGCGAGGCCAGCGGGTGGTGGCTCAGGGACTCGGCTCCCTGCCAGCTGTGGGAGACGTGCTGGGCACTCCTAGCTCAGCAGTCCTGGGT